AATTGAAGAATCGAAATAATGAAAAATCCGACAACTGAAATATCGAAAAATTATGAAATAGAAAAATTGAGAAATGCAAAATGAAGTCGAGAAATCGAAAAATCGAAAATTTAGAAAAGACAAAAATTGAAAATTTAAAAAAATCCCTAAATTGAAAAAACGATAAATTGAAAATCGTGAAATCGAGAAGTTAAAAAATCGAATTTTAATACCTCGAAAAATTGACAAATTAAAAAATTGGAAAATTGAAAAATCGATTTATTGGAATGTCAAAAAATCTCAAGAGTGAAATATCGAAAAATTAATAAATTGATAAATCAAAACATCCAAAAATTGAAGAAAAGTTGAAGAATCGAAATACCGAAAAATCCCAAAATTCAAATATCGAAAAATTGAGAAATCAAAAAATTGAAAAATCGACAAACCGAAACTGAAAAATTGATCAACTGAGAAATCGAAAAATCAAAAATCGAAAATTTAGAACAAACATAAATTGAAAATTAAAAAAAATCACAAAATTGAATTGAAAACTCGAAAAATTGACAAATTAAAAAAGGGGAAATTGAAAAATTGAAAAATCGAGATTTCGGAAAGTCGAAAAATTGAAAAATTGAAAAACATTGAAAAATCCCAAAACTGAAATATCCAAAAATTGATAAATCGATAAATCAAAGCATCGAAAAATTGAATCGAAATACCGAAAAATCCCACAACTAAAATATCGAAAAATCGAGAAATCAAAAAATTGAAAAATCAAAAAAATTAAAAATGGAGAAAACGAAGTCGAAAAATCGATTAATCAAGGAATCTAAAAATCGAAAACTTGGAAACGCCGAAAATTGAAAAACTGAAAAATCGAAATATTTAAAAATCGAAAAATTTAATAAACGAAAAATAGAAAAATCCCACAATTGAAACATCGAAAACTGAAGAAATCAAAATACTGAAAAATCGAGAATTCAAAAAGTCAAAAACTAAAAAATCAAAAAAAATCGAAATTATGAAAAGTCAAAAACTCGAAAAATTGAAAAGTTGAAAAATTGAAAAATTTAAAAACTGAAAAATCGAAAAATCAAGAAAACGAAACATCGAATAGTCCAAATATCGAAAATCGAGAAATGAAAAAGTCGAGAAGTGGAAAAATCGAAAAGTCGAAAAATCGAAGAATCGAAAAACAGAGAAGTTGAAACACTGAAAAATTGAAGAAAAATTGAATATCGAAAAAATTTCAAACTGAAATATCGATAAATTAAGAAATTGAGAAATTGAAAAATTGAAATACATATTGGAAAATCCCAACACTGAAATATCCAAAAATTGATAAATCGATTAATCAAAACATCGAAAAATTTAAAAATTGAAGAATCGAAATACCGAAAAATCCCACAACTGAAATATCGAAAAATTAAGAAATCGAAAAATTGAGAAATCAAAAAATTGAAAAATCAAAAACTTGAAAAATGGAGAAAACGAAATCGAGAAATCGATTATTCGAAAAATCGAAAATTTGGAAACGCCGAAAATTGAAAAAGTGAAAAATCGAAATATTTAAAAATCGAAAAATTGAAGAAACGAAAAATAGAAAAATCCCACAATTGAAACATCGAAGACTGAAAAACCGAGAATTCAAAAAGTCAAAAACTCTAAAATTTAAAAAATCGAAACATTGAAAAATCAAAAAATCCCAAAATTAAAAAGCCAAAAAATGGAAAAATGGATAAATTGAAGAATCGAAATACGTATTGAAAAATTACAAAACTGAAATTTCGAAAAATTGATAAATCGATAAATCAAAACATCGAAAAATTGAAAAATTTAAAGTATAGAAAAATTGAAATATAGAAAAATTAAGAAAATGAAAAATTGAAAAATCGAGAATTGAAAAAGTGGAGAACACCAGAATTTCAAAAATCGAAAAATTAAACAAACAAAAAACCGAAAAATCGACAAATCAAAAAATTGAAAAATCGAAAAATCGAGATATCAAGAAGTCAAATAGTGCAAAAATGGAAAAATTGAAGAAAAAGTAAAGAATCGAAGACTTGAAAAATCCTAAAACTGAAATATCGAAAAATTAAGAAACTGAAAAATTGGGAGATCGAAAAATACGTAGAAAAATTGAAAAACTGAAAAATTGAAGTATAGAAAAATTGAAACATCGAAAAATTAAGAAAATGAAAAATTGACAAATCGGGAATTCAAAAAGAATTAAAAAAAATCGAAAAATTAAACAAAAAATCGAAAAATCGACAAATCAAAAAATTGAAAAATCGAAAAATCGAGATATCAAAAAGTCAAAAAATGCAAAAATGGAAAAAATGAAGAATCGAAATACGTATTGAAAAATTCCAAAATTGAAATATCGAAAAATTGATAAATCGATAAATCAAAAGTTCAAAAAATTGAAAAATTGAAGAAAAAGTGAAGAATCGAAGAGCTGAAAAATCTTAAAACTTAAATATCGAAAAATTAAGAAACTGGAAAATTGGGAGATCGAAAAATACGTCGAAAAATTGAAAAACTGAAAAATTGAAGTATAGAAAAATTGAAACATCGAAAAATTAAGAAAATGAAAAATTGAAAAATCGGGAATTCAAAAAGAATTTTAAAAAATCGATAAATTAACAAACAAAAAACCGAAAAATCGACAAATCAAAAAATTGAAAAATCGAAAAATCGAGATATCAAAAAGTCAAAAAATGCAAAAATGGAAAAATTGAAGAATCGGAATACGTATTGAAAAATTCCAAAATTGAAATATCGAAAAATTGATAAATCGATAAATCAAAACATCAAAAAATTGAAAAATTGAAGAAAAAGTGAAGAATTCAAGAGCTGAAAAATCCTAAAACTGAAATATCGAAAAATTAAGAAACTGAAAAATTGAAAAATCGGGAATTCAAAAAGAATTTAAAAAAATCGAAAAATTAAACAAAAAATCGACAAATCAAAAAATTGAAAAATCGAAAAATCGAGATATCAAAAAGTCAAAAAATGCAAAAATGGAAACATTGAAGAATCGAGATACGTATTGAAAAATTCCAAAACTGAAATATCGAAAAATTGATAAATCGATAAATCAAAATATCAAAAAATTGAAAAATTGAAGAAAAAGTGAAGAATCGAAGAGCTGAAAAATCCTAAAACTGAAATTCGAAAAATTAAGAAACTGGAAAATTGGGAAATCGAAAAATACGTAGAAAAATCGCAAAACTGAAAAATTGAAGTATAGAAAAATTGAAACATCGAAAAATTAATAAAATGAAAAATTGAAAAATCGGGAATCCAAAATGAATTTTAAAAAATCGAAAAATTAAACAAACAAAAAACAGAAAAATCGACAAATCAAAAAATTGAAAAATTGAAAAATCGAGATATCAAAAAGTCAAAAAATGCAAAAATGGAAATATTGAAGAATCGAAATACGTATTGAAAAATTCCAAAATTGAAATATCGAAAAATTGATAAATCGATAAATCAAAACTTCAAAAAATTGAAAAATTGAAGAAAAAGTGAAGAATCGAAGACTTGAAAAATCCTAAAACTGAAATATCGAAAAACTGAAAAATTGAAGCATACAAAAATTGAAACATCGAAAAATTAAGAAAATGAAAAATTGAAAAATCGGGAATCCAAAAAGAATTTTAAAAAATCGAAAAATTATACAAACAAAAAACCGAAAAATCGACAAATCAAAAAATTGAAAAATCGAAAAATCGAGATATCAAAAAATCAAAAAATGCAGAAATGGAAAAAATGAAGAATCGAAATACGTATTGAAAAATTCCAAATCTAAAATATCGAAAAATTGATAAAACGATAAATCAAAACATCAAAAAATTGAAAAATTGAAGAAAAAGTGAAAAATCGAAGAGCTGAAAAATCCTAAAACTGAAATATCGAAAAATTAAGAAACTGGAAAATTGGGAAATCGAAAAATACGTAGGAAAATCGAAAAACTGAAAAATTGAAGTATAGAAAAATTTAAACATCGAAACATTAAGAAAATGAAAAATTGAAAAATCGAGAATTCAAAATCAGAATTTAAAAAAATCGAAAAATTAAACAAACAAAAAATCGACAAATCAAAAAATTGAAGAACCGAAATACGTCTAGAAAAATCCAAAAACTGAAGAATCTCGAGAATATCCTTGGGAACCTAAATTATTGGCAAAAGAATTTTTATTATCCAAAAAAAGTGAATGTCAAGAATGTTTGTGATTTTTAAAGATTACTAGCAACCTGAATGTGCTCTCTGCGCTCGCGTTCTAGTAACTTTCTTCGATATAATTTAATTCAGAAGCTGCGATGAAAATCCTTCTTAATAAACGCTTCGTTCATATTAAACGTTCAGTTTATATAAAAAATAATTCATCGGTGCAGTTGAGAAACTAAATTACTAATTATTGTGGATCAAACAAATTTTGGTTAGCGTCCCAATTCTAGACTCATAAATTAAACTTTAAACTTGAACACTGTCTCGAATTTTTGCATACCATATTGTTTTAACACAGCAATATTTTAATAATAAGTTGTTTTGCGCGTTTATCGTGCACTTTATCTCTTGACTATACATAATTTATATCATTTCTAGTAGCCGTCTTTTAATATTTTTTTTAATTTATGTTGTTTACACCGAATTGTTTATTAGGAAATCGTTGTTACCCATAGCAAAAAACATGTTTATTCTATTTTTTTATTGTTTCGTAATAGTTATTGTGACACTGTGATAAATTTCAAAAAGTCGAGGAGCCAAAAAGCGGAGCCTCCTTGTCCACTTTCGGCCGAAAACTTCCATTGTGTTGGCACACCTGCCGCACCCGCACGCCCTGGCCCCTGAACCCCGAAACCAGGAAGAGCCGAGTTCACCCACCCTGCTGGTATCCCCAATGCCACGGATCGATGGGGCCCGTTATTTATGGCCCCGGCAAATATTGGCCGATCCAATTATCGAGAATCCATTCGTCTCGGACTTTATCTCCGCACAAACACGAGGTGTCTATTAAAAAGTATTTATTGAGCATTACATAGAATATACAATGACAAAGAACAAATAATAGAAACCCGATATGGTGCTTGGGAACAATCAAAGTGTCGAGCATATCACAGACATCGTTAACGTAGACACTGCAGGCTAGATGGCGTACAGGGCCGTACTGAGGAGGGCCACGAGGAGGGCGCTCCAGGGCCGGCTGTGGGGGGCCAAGCCGCACAGCTTGATCTCGCTTTCCTGCAAACACAAAAATGTTGCATTTATTAGTAAATTTAGGCGAGTTTTATTTGCGGATTGGATTGGATTGGGAGAATCGTGGCTATTTTTGTATTTCGTTCATGGTTTCGCGTGTAATAAAAATGACAAAGGAGAGTGAAAAGTGATGACAGTTTATGGTTTCGTAATGTGCGCGAGGTCGAAGTTTCAAAGGGAAAATGACCTTTAGATTTGTTTGTATTGATTCAAGTTCGCGCAGTTGGTTTTTGTAAAAGTTTTAGAGTTGGTGGTGATAAGTCGTGGAAAATTAGGAGTGAAGGAAATGTTTGTAGTTGATTGGGGAATGACAAATATTCGGTGTTATTAATGGGTTTGGAACAATGACGTGGGTAACGCGGATTTGGATTTGGGTGGGGAATGAGTGGTGAGGTAGAGGACCAACAATACACAGTCTGCTTTATTGTGTTCCTTACGATTTTAATTCAAATATAGAACCTCGTTAATCCGTTTCTTTGATAACTACAACCGTTGAAAAATCGAAATTTTTAGAAATTTTCAAAAATTCGCATTTCGTACCGATTATTTCGAAAATGTTGCTCAGTGACCATCAAAATGCTCTATTTTTGGAATCAGCATGTCGAGATCTACGTCCTTGAATTTTTTCGCAATTTTTAGACAACTTTTTTAAAACGGTAAATTTTTCCAATGGTCCCCCCTTCTTCAAATTTCGGCCAATTTTTGACATTTTCGAAACTCAACTAAACACATTTTCCTGTAGATTCCGAGCTCTAGAACTCACTTCGGGCCTCGTTTCTTTGATAACTTCAACCGTTTTTCCGGAATCGACCGTTGAAAAATCGAAATTTTTAGAAATTTTCAAAAATTCTCATTTCGTACCGATTATTTCGAAAATTTTGCACAGTGACCATCAAAATGCTACATTTTTGGAATCAGCATGTCGAGATCTACGTCCCTGTATTTTTTGCAATTTTTAGACAACTTCTTTAAAAAAGGGAAATTTTTGCAATGGTCCCCCCTTCTTCAAATTTCGGCCAATTTTTGATATTTTCGAAACTTAACTAAACACATTTTCTTGTAGATTTCGAGCTCTAGAACTCTCTTCCGGCATCGTTTCTTTGGTAACTGCAACCGTTTTTCTAGAATAGACCGTTGAAATATCGAAATTTTTTAGAAATTTTCAAAAATTCGCATTTTGTACCGATTATTTCGAAAATTTTGCACAGTGACCATCAAAATGCTACATTTTTGGAATCAGCATGTCGAGATCTATGTCCATGAATTTTTTCGCAATTTTTAGACAACTTTTTTAAAAAGGGAAATTTTTCCAATGGTCCCCCCTTCTTCAAATTTCGGTCAATTTTTGACATTTTCGAAACTCAACTAAACAGATTTTCTTGTAGATTTCGAGCTCTAGAACTCACTTCCGGCATCGTTTCTTAGATAACTGCAACCGTTTTTCCAGAATCGACCGTTGAAATATCGAAATTTTTAGAAATCTTCAAAAATTCGCATTTCGTACCGATTATTTCGAAAATGTTGCTCAGTGACCATCAAAATGCTATATTTTTGGAATCAGCATGTCGAGATCTACGTCTCTGAATTTTTTCGCAATTTTTAGACAACTTTTTTAAAAAGGGAAATTTTTCCAATGGTCCCCCCTTCTTCAAATTTCGGCCAATTTTGACATTTTCGAAACTTAACTAAACACATTTTCTTGTAGATTTCGAGCTCAAGAACTCACTTCCGGCATCGTTTCTTTGATCAGTGCAACCGTTTTTCTAGAATGGACAGTTGAATTATTGAAATTTTTAGATATTTTCAAAAATTCGCATTTCGTACCGATTATTTCGAAAATGTTGCTCAGTGACCATGAAAATGCTACATTTTTGGAATCACCATGTCGAGATCCACGTTCCTGAATTTTTTCGCAATTTTTAGACCACTTTTTTAAAAAGGGAAATTTTTCCAATGGCCCTCCCTTCTTCAAATTTCGGCCAATTTTTGACATTTTCGAAACTTAACTAAACACATTTTCTTGTAGATTTCGAGCTCTAGAACTCACTTCGGGCCTCGTTTCTTTGATAACTTCAACCGTTTTTCCGGAATTGACCGTTGAAAAAGCGAAATTTTTAGAAATTTTCAAAAATTCGCATTTCGTAGCGATTATTTCGAAAATGTTGCTCAGTGACCATCAAAATGCTATATTTTTGGAATCAGCATGTCGAGATCTACGTCCCTGAATTTTTTCTCAATTTTTAGACAACTTTTTTAAAAACGAAATTTTTTCAATGGTCCCCCCTTCTTCAAATTTCGGCCAATTTTTGGCATTTTCGAAACTTAACGAAACACATTTTCCTGTAGATTTCGAGTTCTAGAACTCACTTTAGGCCTCGTTTCTTGGATAACCGTAACAGTTTTTCCGGAATCGACCGTTGAAAAATCGAAATTTTTAGAAACTTTCAAAAATTCGCATTTCGTTCCGATTATTTCGAAAATGTTGCACAGTGACCATCAAAATGCTATATTTTCGGAATCAGCATGTCGAGATCTACGTCCCTGAATTTTTTCGCAATTTTTAGACAACTTTTTTAAAAGGGAAATTTTTCCATTGGTCCCCTTTTCTTCAAATTTCGACCAATTTTTGACATTTTCGAAACTTAACTAAACACATTTTCCTGTAGATTTCGAGTTCTAGAACTCACTTTAGGCCTCGTTTCTTGGATAACCGTAACAGTTTTTCCGGAATCGACCGTTGAAAAATCGAAATTTTTAGAAACTTTCAAAAATTCGCATTTCGTTCCGATTATTTCGAAAATTTTGCTCAGTGACCATCAAAATGCTATATTTTTGGAATCAGCATGTCGAGATCTATGTCCATGAATTTTTTTGCAATTTTTAGACAACTTTTTTAAAAAGGAAAATTTTTCCAATGGTCCCCCCTTCTTCAAATTTCGGTCAGTTTTTGACATTTTCGAGACTCAACTAAACAGAGTTTCTTGTAGATTTCGAACTCTAGAACTCACTTCCGGCATCGTTTCTTAGATAACTGCAACCGTTTTTCCAGAATCGACCGTTGAAATATCGAAATTTTTAGAAATTTTCAAAAATTCGCAGTTCGTACCGATTCTTTCGAAAATGTTGCTCAGTGACCGTAAAAATGCTATATTTTTGGAATCAGCATGTCGAGATCCACGTCCCTGAATTTTTTCGCAACTTTTAGACAACTTTTTTAAAAGGGAAATTTTTCCAATGGTCCCCACTTCTTCAAATTTCGGTCAATTTTTGATATTTTCGAAACTTAACTAAACACATTTTCTTGTAGATTTCGAGCTCTAGAACTCAATTCGGGCCTCGTTTCTTTGATAACTGCAACCGTTTTTCCGGAATCGACCGTTGAATAATCGAAATTTTTAGAATTTTTCAATAATTCGCATTTCGTACCGATTATTTCGAAAATGTTGCGCAGTGACCATCAAAATGCTATATTTTTGGAATCAGCATGTCGAGATCTACGTCCCTGAATTTTTTCGCAATTTTTAGACAACTTTTTTAAAAGCGAAATTTTTCCATTGGTCCCCCCTTCTTCAAATTTCGACCAATTTTTGACATTTTCGAAACTTAACTAAACACATTTTCCTGTAGATTTCGAGTTCTAGAACTCACTTTAGGCCTCGTTTCTTGGATAACTGTAACAGTTTTTCCGGAATCGACCGTTGAAAAATCGAAATTTTTAGAAATCTTCAAAAATTCGCATTTCGTACCGATTATTTCGAAAATGTTGCTCAGTGACCATCAAAATGCTCTATTTTTGGAATCAGCATGTCGAGATCTACGTCCCTGAATTTTTTCGCAATTTTTAGACAACTTTTTTAAAAAGGGAAATTTTTCCAATGATCCCCCCTTCTTCAAATTTCGGCCAATTTTTGACATTTTCGAAACTTAACTAAATACATTTTCTTGTAGATTTCGAGTTCTAGAACTCACTTTAGGCCTCCTTTCTTGGATAACTGTAACAGTTTTTCCGGAATCGACCGTTGAAAAATCGAAATTTTTAGAAACTTTCAAAAATTCGCATTTCGTACCGATTATTTCGAAAATGTTGCACAGTGACCATCAAAATGCTATATTTTCGGAATCAGCATGTCGAGATCTACGTCCCTGAATTTTTTCGCAATTTTTAGACAACTTTTTTAAAAAGGGAAATTTTTCCAATGGTCCCCCTTTCTTCAAATTTCGGCCAATTTTGACATTTTCGAAACTTAACTAAACACATTTTCCTGTAGATTTCGAGTTCTAGAACTCACTTTAGGCCTCCTTTCTTGGATAACTGTAACAGTTTTTCCAGAATCGACCGTTGAAAAATCGAAATTTTTAGAAACTTTCAAAAATTCGCATTTCGTACCGATTATTTCGAAAATGTTGCTCAGTGACCATCAAAATGCTATATTTTCGGAATCAGCATGTCGAGATCTACGTCCCTGAATTTTTTCGCAATTTTTAGACGACTTTTTTAAAAAGGGAAATTTTTCCAATGGTCCCCCCTTCTTCAAATTTCGGCCAATTTTTGACATTTTCGAAACTTAACTAAACACATTTTCTTGTAGATTTCGAGCTCTAGAACTTACTTCCGGCATCGTTTCTTTGATAACTGTAACCGTTCTTCCGGAATCGACCGTTGAAATATCGAAATTTTTAGAAATTTTCAAAAATTCGCATTTCGAAACGATTATTTCGAAAATTTTGCACAGTGACCATCAAAATGCTATATTTTTGGAATCAGCATGTCGAGATCTACGTCCCTGAATTTTTTCGCAATTTTTAAACAACTTTTTTAAAAAGGGAAATTTTTCCAATGGTCCCCCCTTCTTCAAATTTCGGCCAATTTTTGACATTTTCGAAACTTAACTAAACACATTTTCTTGTAGATTTCGAGCTCTAGAACTTACTTCCGGCATCGTTTCTTTGATAACTGTAACCGTTTTTCCGGAATCGACCGTTGA